TAGTAAAGAGGGCCCTGCTAATCCGTGGTGTGAGGTGGCAACATTAATACGTGCAATAGCACCACCAATAGATCAAGTACTTGTGAGAAGTGAGGCTCTGGGTGATCGCATATTTGATCCTTTTCTGCAATTTTGTCAGCATGAGGAGTATAAGGAAGCTGGTTGGTTGGTCCTACTTACACTAAACGCTGGTGAAAGAGCGAGATGAGCTCAGGGCTGCTGAGTCACAGCTTAAGCGCTGCATAAAAGACCTCAATGTTTCCAGTTGTGCTCTGAAAGAAAGCCTTATATCTTCTAGTAACAGAGCTGATATTGCCGAAAACCAAACCCAGAGTCTTATTGTAAGGGTGGCTGAATTACAACGCCAACTAAATTACCAACCCAGAATGGTGTCTGAAGTTAAAGTGAGGGCATTGATTGGGAAAAAATGGGATCCTGAGACCTGGGATGGGGACATATGGGCAGATATCCAGGAAGATCAGGATGTGGAGCCTGTAAATTCTGTTGAATCACTCCCATCTGAAGGGGTTACTGTAAAACCATCATCCCTCCACCTCAGTTTGATGGGATTAACACAAATGTTCCTGCTGGGTCATTGCCTGAGGCAGAGGCCATGGAAGACATTGCTGAATGTTCTCAGGAACTGCCCCAACCACCCACTGTTGCTGCTAGACCTATAACTAAAGTTAAGTCCAAGCGAGCCCCAAAAGGTGAAATAGAAAGTGTGACTGAGGAGGTGGTATGCTGCACCCGAAAAGACCTGCTTGATTTTGCTAACATGTACAGACAGAAACCAAGAGAACATGTATGGGAATGGCTACTGAGGGTGTGGGCTAATGGTGCAAGGAATGTTAAGATTGGATCAGTCTGAGTTTATTGATTTGGGCCCACTAAGTATGGATTCTTCATTCAATGAGAGGTTAGGAAAGGATCTAATAGTTTATTTGGTTGGCTTACTGAAGCATGGATTATGCGGTGGCCTACCTTAAGTCAGGCTGAAGTACCAGACCTGCCTTGGTATAATGTAGAAGAAGGTATCCAGAGGCTTAGGGCAATTGGCCTGTTAGAATGGTTTTATCATATTAGACCCCTAGAGCCAGAAATGGAGAGTCCAGAAGACACATCATTCACCAGTACCATGAGGAATAAATTCATGAAGGGAGACCCAGCATCTTCATGAAGACTGCTGTGATTGCTATTTTATGTAAGCCAGAGTTGACAGAGGGAATGGCCCTAATTGAACTAAGACACTTAACTATGATGGGGCTGATTGGACTCCATGATAGTAGGGGCCAAGTGGCAGCAGTTAATTGACAAAGGCAAGGTGGGCGTGGTTACCATAATGGACAGCAGAGTCAAAACAGTAATCAGAATAGTCTGACACGTGTGGAATTATGGCTACTTGCTCATGGTGTTCCTCGTAGTGAAATACATGGCGAGCCTACTAAGTATTTACTTGATCTGTATAGACAGAATTCCAGGTCATGTGAACAGCAACCTAGATTGAATCACCAGAATACAGAGTCAACGACTTCTCAATCAATTCCCAGACTTGAGTCAGTTTACAGACCCACAACCCCTTGAATGAAGGGGAGGCCAGGTCCCTTTGAGGAAGGACCCCCACTACATTGTCAAACATTTATAATGTCAATCTTTCTCCCAGCCTTCTCCAAAGGGATGTGAGGCCTTTGACGAGAGTGACTGTTCATGGGGAAAAGGAAATAATCAGACTTTTCGGGGATTACTGGACACTGGCTCTGAACTGACACTAATTCCAGGAGACCCAAAGCGTCATTGGGGCCCACCAGTCAGAGTGGGGGCATATGGAGGTCAAGTTATTGATGGAGGTTATGCATGGGCTCAGCAACATGGACTCCCGCTTACCAAGGCTGATTTGGCTACTGCCACTTCTGAGCGCCCGATCTGCCAGCAGCAGAGACCAACCCTGAGTCCGCGATATGGAACCATTCCTTGGGGTGATCAGCCAGCAAAGTGGTGGCAGGTTGATTACATTAGACCACTTCCATCATGGAAAGGACAGCGTTTTGTTCTTACTGGAATAGATACTTATTCTGGATATGGATTTGCCTTCCCTGCATGCAATGCTTCTGCCAAAACTACCATCCGTGGACTTACAGAATGCCTTATCCACTGTCATGGTATCCCACACTGCATTGCTTTGGATCAAGGGGCTCACATCACAGCAAATGAAGTGTGGCAATGGGCCTATACTAATGGAATTCACTGGTCTTATCATGTTGCCCATCATCCTGGAGCAGCTGGCTTGATAGAATGATAGAATGGCCTACTGAAAACACAATTACATGCCAGCTAGGTGGCAATACCATGAAGGGTTGGGGCAGTGTTCTCCAGGAGGCTGTATATGCTCTAAACCAGTGTCCAATATATGGTTCTGTTTCTCCAATAGCCAGGATTCATGGGTCCAGGAACCAAGGGGTGGAAATGGGAATGGTGCCACTCACTATTACCCCTTGTGACCCACTCAAAAACTTTTTGCTTCCTGTCCCTGCTACCCTATGCTCTGCAGG